TAGGTTTATGGATTTAACTATTATGATTGTTCTTGTATTGTGCATACAGTATGTTACCATGCAATGCGTCCGGTTGTTTTGTCGTACACGACCAGGTTGAATACGTTGGTTGACACGTGTGTTTCCCGCCACAATTTGGTCAACGTTGTTTGTTGACGCTGCGCGATTTTTGTTGAAATGAACAAACAGGAATGATTGAACTAACAGTGAAATTAGTACAAGTACCTAACCCTAGAATTGTGTACCCCCTATAGGCTAACCCACTGTAGCCTAAACAAGCACAGCAACATATATAATGTTTGACACACCCCCATAGGCGAAGTGGGGGAGAACTAGGGGTCACAAGACCAGTCAAGGCAAAGCAAGGCAAAACAAGCTCAGGGTGGATCTCAAGGATACCACTCAAATTCCGAGCACAAGCAAGTGGTCACAAGACCAATTCACATGCAGGTTTACAATAGAGCAAGAGGTACAATGATCACAACCTAGCAAGAGTAAACATGCAGTAATATATATATATAGAGATCACAGTACAAACAGACTCAAGAAGTAAGCAAGTGAGGTATAGTAGGCACAAGGGCTAGAAGAGTGCAAAAGCGCTTATGGTCACAAGGCTGAAGCGCCTTGGTAAACACATCAGCAGTGTTGGCCTCAGACGCCACGTAACGCAGACGAAGCTGACCACGTTGCTGCAGCTCTCGAGCAAGGAAGTAGCGCAGAGCAATGTGCTTCGTTCTGTGCTCCAGTCTGTGCTCCTCACACAAGGCAATGGCTGCCTTGTTGTCGACGTAGAGCACTGGAGGAGAACGAGGCCGCTCTCCAAGGTCGGTCAGCAAGTAGGTGAGCCAGCGTAGCTCCTAGGCCGCCATGGCTGTGGCGTAGATCCCAGCCTCACAACTGGAGCTGAGAACAGAAGAAGAGCGAGTAGAACGCCAAGAGAATGAACCAGAGCCAAGACTGAAGGTGTAACCCTGACATGACCACTGAGTAGCCTGGTCGTCTGCCCAAGAAGCGTCTGAGTGCCCACTGAGAACCACTAAGTCTCACCCTCGAAGCACTAGCCCCATGCCCGATGTACTGCACAAGTAGTGCAACACCCTCTTAGCTGCATCCATGTGCTCCTTCCTGTGACGGCCGAGAGCAACATAGCGTGCAAGAACGCTAAGAGGGTATGCAAGATCAGGTCGAGTGCAGGTCATCAGGTACATGAGGCAGCCCACAAGCTCTGGATACGGGCCACTCGGCTCTACGAACTCATCGAAAGGCAGAGCTGAGAGCGAGTGACCGGTAGGCAGAGGAGTGGGCTGAGGCGAGAAGTACGTGAAGCGGAAGCGCTGAAGGACCTGCTGCACCATGTGTGACTGAGTCAAGGTGATGGTGCGGCGTGCTCTGTCCCGGATGATCCGCAAGCCAAGATAGCTTGTCAGTTCACCCAGATCTGTGCACGTGTGTCTCTTCTGCAGCTCCGACATCACGTGGGCGAGTGCCGCAGTGTCAGCAGTGGCAAAGACCAAGTCGTCGACGTACACAAGGATGTAGAACGGCGGCAGTGAGGTGTCGGTGCGTAGAAACAGCGACGGGTTAGCACTAGAAGGCGCAAACTCAAGAGCCGCAAGTGTAGTCCTCACTGTGTCGTGCCACTTACGTGTCGCCTGGCGGAGACCGTAGACTGGCCGTCGAAGGCTCCACTGGGTACAAGGAGGGAACGACCCAGTGAATCCAGGTGGGCGGCGCAGCCAGATCTCCTCGTGCAGGCTGCCCTGTAGGAAAGCAGTGCTGAAGTCAAGAGAGTGGAGCTCGTAGTCACGCTGAGCGGCGAGAAGGTCTAGAAGAAGTTAACTCCCTCTCGCTGACTGAAGCCTCGTGCAACGTAATGCACCTTGAAGACAGGCGGAGAGCCCGGCGGCCGCTTCACCCTGGAAATCCACATGCCACTGACGATGTTCGCCCCAGGCCCGGGAACCTCGTCAATGTAGGTGCCTGTGGACTTCTAGGAAGCCATGTCCGTGTCCATGGCTGTCTGCCACTAAGAGGAGTAGGGACCGGCCATTGCCTTCGCGTAAGAGCGTTGGGTCGGGATGTCTGGTGCATCCGGGTCTCCCTTAGGGGCAATCAGCATGGACACGAGATGGGGCAAAGCGGCAGCAATGCACTCAAACTCCTCCTGCCTGTCCTCAAAGACGTCAGTGCCAAGAGCACACTCATCCCCGACGAACGGAGGACTGGCAGACTCAGACTTATCAACTAGGCTAGTTGCGTAGTCTAGACGACAGGTGGTAGCAAAGACGACAAGCTGAGGAACTAAGGCAGACGCAGGAGCAGACTCAAAGGAAGGGTCAGTGACAATAGTAGCCAGGAGACGCGGGACTGTAGGACTGGCAGCACGAAGGGAGTCTGACCCCGGGTCAGCAAGTGCAGGAAGAGAGGACGGAGGAGGAGACAGCAGTGGGACACGCTGTGGAGCATTGGAAGGACGAAGCGCCATCCGGTGAGTGCCTGCGACAGCAGGAAGAGGCTGACGCGGGACACGACTACCAGTGAGAGCAACACGGACAGGCGACGCACGACGAGACTTAGGCGACGCAGGACGAGACTCAGGCTCTCAACGCTCAGTAAGACCTCCATTCAGACCAGTATCAGGAGCAAGACCAGGGAGAGAGGAGGCAGACGGTAGCTGCGACTGTAGCTGGACAGTCGGAGGACACCTGAAGTAGGGAGGAGGACAAGGAGGAGGGAGCTGACAAAGAACCCGCGGACGGAGCGGAACAAAGTACAGCCGCGGTAGTGCAGGGACTCCAAAACCAGCAGGGACACCAGCGGCAGGGTCCTTAGCACTAGCAGCAGCTCCAACTCCCGGAACCTCAGCACAAGCAGCAGCTCCAACGCCCGGGTCCACAGCACCAGCAGCAGCACCACCGCCAGGGTCCTCAGCACCAGCAGCAGCTCCAACGCCCGGGTCCTCCGCACCAGCAGCAGCTCCAACGCCCAGGTCCGCAGCACAAGCAGGAGCTCCAACGCCCGGATCCTCAGCACCTGCAGCAGCACCAGCGCCCAGGTCCGCAGCACAAACCGTAGCTCCAACGCCCGGGTCCTCAGCACCAGCAGCACCAGTAGCGTCTCAAGCACAAGCTGCACCACCACCAGCAGCGGGGTCCGCGACACCAGGCGCGCCACTCCGAAGATTGCAGCGCCCCTTGTACCACTCTCCCGAGGCTCCAGTTCTGTAAGTACCACTCACCTTGCTACTCGGAGGAGAGGGCTCCTTTAGGTGTAGGACTCCCAGGCTCAGCACCTCCAGACTCAGAACCCCAAGACTCCGGACTCTGCGGCTCAGCACCCCCAGGCTCAGCACCCCCATGCTCATTACCCCCAGGCTCAGCACCCCCAGGCTCCGCACCCCCAGGCACCGCACCCCCAGGCTCCGCACCAGCAGCAGGACGAGAGTCGACAGCTACCTCAACAGGCTCAACCGGGTCTACCTGAGACACACCTGAGGGAGCGGCACCCTCAGGGGGGAGGGGGTCTACAACAGCAGCACCTGGCGCGAGGAAGAGAGGCGGGGGGGGGGGGGGAGCGGGGCAGTGCGGTAGGGGAAGAGTCGGTAGTAGGGGACGGACTCGTCAAAAGTGACGTCCTGAGAGGGGAAGACTCGGCGCGAGGTGGCGTGGTAAAACTGCCAACCAGACGCGTCCGAGACAAAGCCGAGGAAGACGCAGGGAACAGCACGGGAGGAGAGCTTGTCCGCAGACGTATCGCGGACAAAAGCTCGAGATCCCCAGACCCGGAAACGTGACGCATCGCCAACCTCCCCTGTCCACAGTAGTGTGGGCGAGGTCTCCGGCAAGGAGACACGGGGCCAGAGGTTGAGCTGATGCGCAGCGTACCGAACAGCAAACGGCCACAGAAAGTGGGGGGCAGCCGCATGTATCAAGGAGGTACGGGCGACCTCCACGACCAGGCCAATGCAGCGCTCCGCAATCCCATTCTGCTGTGGAGAGGCCGGAAGCGTGAACGACTGCTGAATGCCGTGCTCAGCACAGTAGGCTGCCAAGAGGTCGGAGGAGAACTCACCACCTCTGTCTGAGTGCAAGCGCAGGACTGGAAAGTCCGAGTGGAAATGCTCGCTGAGCTGGAGACGGGCTTTGCGAATCCAAGGGACCAAGACATCAGGGACCTCACCCTTGGTGCGCAAGGGGAAGACCGTGGTGTAGCGTGAGTAGTCGTCAACAACTATCGGGAAGTACCTCTCCTGACCCTAACCACGGATGCGGGCTGGGCCCCACACATCCATGTGGAGCGTCTACAAGGGAGCACTCGTCGGGGGAAACGAGGAGGAGTGAGGAGCGGCGCGCTGCCGCCCCTCAACACAGGGAAGACAGAGAGGAGCACGTGAGGGAGGGAGGGGAGGAAGGACCCGGGGCAGGCCAGAGACAAGGTACCGGGAGTGCATGGCACGTAGTCGCTGCACAGACGGGTGGCCAAGGCGGTGGTGCTAGAGGACAGTCTCGTATGCCAGAGAGCAAATCGAGCAGGGGGCCGACAGCTGACCTGACGCGGACGCAGACGCAGCGACTTAAGGGGACTCGGTGGTCAGTGTGTACAGGTCCGACCCCGGCTGCCGAGTGAAGGTAGCCAAGTGACAGCCCGTACGAGCACACGTGCAGTGTGTCACGCACTCGTAGGCAGGGGTGAACTGGTGAACACCCCCGTCCTGGAGCGCACATCCTGCCACCAGGTTCGTAGAGAACGAGGGGAGATGGAGACCTGATAGTGTGCCCGACGAGACCGCAGGACAGGGAAGGACAGTGGAGGAGGTCGCAACGACCGGACCCCTAGAGGGGTTAGCGAGGGAGACAGCAACTGGCCGAGCAAGCGGCTCAAGGGCAGTGCGGTCACGAAAGAAGCAGCGAGAAGCACCTGAGTCCAGTGTGAAGGTGTGCAGTGCTGCTGTCGACTCAGTACCAGGGGGGGCAGATGCACAAGCACCTAGAGCAGCTGCCTCACCAGCACCTGGAGTAGCAGACACGCGAGTACCTGGAGTGGCAGACGCACTAGTCCTAATGCCCGGGTCGGGCGGCACACAGAGGTACTCAGCACCCTCTCCACTAGTAGACATCACATACATAGCAGTGAGAATAGCATCAAAGTCTAGAGCATAGATATCAATCCCCTTCTTCAGGAGATCAAGCCAGCGGGGCAGCTCAGAGGCCTGAGGGAACTGAACACGCCAAGCGTCGTTGAGACGAGCGGAGCGGCGCTGTGTGACGTGCAGTCCCCCACACGGCTGACCAGTGCGGTCACCAGTGCGAATGACGTACGTGAAGCTAAAGCCACCCCCCCCCCCCCTCCCTTGTGCTGAGAGTAGCACTCACGAACCTCCTGGGGCGACAGAGTGTGCTGCTGGCCCTGGCCACCGCCAGCGCCTCCACGACCACCACCGCCGCCGCCACCTCCTCGACCACCCCAACCCTTGCCGCCGCCGCGTCCACCGCCAACCCCACCACCGCCTCCGCCCCTGCCACCTCCCCCGCCGCTGCTGCCACCACCCCCACCGCTACCACTAGCCCCTCCAGTCCCGCCACCACCCCCACCGCCGCCACCGCCCCCACCACTGCCTCCCCCGCCGTCACCGCCACCGCCCTTGCCCCCTTTGCCCCTTGCCGCTGCGGCGCCCGCTCGACGCAGGCACAGTGCCGACCTTCTCAGCACCAAGGAGGTCGACAGCAGCAGCAGAGGTGACAGAGGGAAGAAGGGGGGAAGGAGAACACCCCTCAAAGAATGGGGTACGGGGGTCGCCACGAGAGGCACCTACTGCGACTATGCTAGCCTCAGCTGCAAGCAGTTCCTTCTCGAGGAGGGCTATGGTGAGCTAAGTGGGGCAGCGAGCTAGGAAATGGTCCCTGACTGAGCGAAGAGTGTCAGGGAGGCGGGTGACTAGGTGGTAGAGAGTGAGCCAGAGCGGGGTTGGGTTCTTTGCAAGGAACTCATCAGGCATGGCGGCGCGGAAGCGAGCCTCACTAGTGCGGAGGTGCGTAATGAGGTCAGCGACTGTGTGGAAAGAGGCCAAGTCGGGGAACAGGTAAGGAAGAGAGAGACGGCCTAGTGCGGCAGAGGCCGGTGAGGAGTAGCAGGCAACGATAGCAGTGTACAGTTCTTGTGCTGTCTTGTGCTGACCAAAGTGCTCGCACTCATCTATCGGCAGGGAGTTGCGAATAGCAAAGCGAGCGTGGGCGTCACGAGTCTGCCATTGTGAGCGGGCAGTGCTGTCAGAAGTAGCAGCAGGGAGAGTGACATGGCCTAGGGCGTGGTCGTACAGTGAGATGTCGTCCTTGGCAGTGAGCTGTAGATAGAGGTGCAGGTCATCTAGCCAGGTGTCAAACTTCACTGGGCGGCCCTCAGCATCGAAAGCTAGCACAGATGGGCTAGCCATAAGAGCAGTAGGAGTAGCAGTAGGAGTAGGAGGATGAGACAGGTAGGGCGGCTCGGTGAGTACGCGCGGCGCGATTCGGTTCAGGTAGGGCGGCGCGGTTCAGTTCGGGTCGCGCGGCTCGGCTCAGACTGAGCGGCTCGGTTCGGGTCGCGCGGCTCGGCTCGGTCTTGGAGGAGCTATGGCGGTCACGGGCCGTTCGGGGCCTCTAGGGGCGAGCGTGGGGCCGTTCGGGGCCTCTAGGGGCGAGCGCGGGATTGTAAGGGGCCGCTAAGGGCGAGCGCGGGGCCGTTCGGGGCCTGTAGGGGCGAGCGCGGCGCCGTTTCGGGCCTCTAGGGGCGAGAGCGGGGCCGTAAAGGGCCTCTAGGGGCAAGCGCGGGGCCGTTCGGGGCCTCTAGGGGCGAGCGTGGGGCCATAAGGGGCCTCTAGGGGCGAGTGCGGGGCCGACGGGGGCCTCTACGGAGGTGAGCGCGGGGCCGACGGGGCCGTTAGGGGCGATCGCGGGTCCGACGGGGTCGCTAAGGGGCGAGCGCGTGGGTCGACGGGGCGGCGCGCAGGTCGCTAAGGGGCGGGTCGCGGGGCCTTAGGGGGCCGTGAAAAACGAGGCGCCCTAGGGCGCAGGTAGGTAGGTAGGTAGTGGTGGGCCCTAAAAAAAACGGTCCTAGCGAAGGACCTGCTCTGAAACCATGTTGAAATGAACGAACAGGAATGATTGAACTAAATGTGAAATCAGTACAAGTACCTAACCCTAGAATTGTGTATTCCTATAGACTAACCCACTGTAGCCTAAACAAGCACAACATATATAATGTTTGACAATTTTTGGCGAGTCGCGATAGTTGACATTTGGGTGATTTGGCGCGTTCTCACTCGTTCACTCGCGTCTGACTAGCCGTGTCACTTTGTAACATTCAGGTTTGGTCGCGGGTCAGTTTGAAGTGCTTACGCTTTGGTTTCGAGTGGGTAGCCCGTATGTCTTAAGTGATGTTTAGCTGCCTTATTGATGTTTAGCTGCTTAACTCAGATGCATAGTATTAGTCGTGGCCATATCGCATTTCGTTGCGAACAAATAGCATACCCTGTCATTGTATTTAGGTTGATGTTGTTCAAAGGGCACCTTTTGTCAGTTCTTAGCAAAGGTGGCGTCTCACTTTGTACCTCTGTTTTTAAACGTTATGTTGGGTATCAGCCCGTCGGGTTGAGGGCAGAGTTTTAGGCACCACAGACTCCCACGCTTTGGCCCTAAACCTATCGACAGGCCTGCTTAGGGGGCAAGGAACTCGGTCATCAGTTTTGTTCGAAGTCTAGTGTCTGGAATTCCGAATTCCAAATTCGTCCATGTTCCCAAACTCAACACGATTCCAAGCCCCAAAAATCCGTGTATTCCGCCTCCCAACAATTTCTTGCGGTTAGCTGCGATTGAAGTACTGAAGTTGGGGTTCGGCTACACTTGCGGCCACTAGTGGCGGCTAATCCGCGAGCTTTTTTCCAGCCGATGATTCATTCACCTTGAAGTGGCGATCTCAGAAGGTGAGTTATTTAGCTTCTATTAGAATAACTGAACAGGAATGATTGGACTAGCAGTGAAAACAATACAAGTACCTAACCCTAGAATTGTGTACCCCATATAGGCTAACCCACTGTAGCCTAAACAAACACAACAACATATATAATGTTTGACACACCCCCATAGGCGAAGTGGGGGAGAACTAGGGGTCACAAGACCAGTCAAGGCAAAACAAGACAAAACAAGCTCAGGGTGGATCTCAAGGATACCACACAAATTCAAAGCACAAGCAAGTGGTCACAAGACCAGTTCACATGCAGGTTTATAATAGAACAAGAGGTACAATGATCACAACCTAGCAAGAGTAAACATGCAGGTATACATATATAGAGATCACAGTACAAACAGACTCAAGAAGTAAGCAAGTGAGGTACAGTAGGCACAAGGCCTAGAAGAGTGCAAAAGCGCTGATGGTCACAAGGCTGAAGCGCCTTGGTGAACACATCAGCAGTGTTGGCCTCAGAGGCCATGTAACGCAGACGAAGCTGACCACGTTGCTGCAGCTCTCGAGCAAGGAAGTAGCGCAGAGCAATGTGCTTCGTTCTGTGCTCCAGTCTGTGCTCCTGACACAAGGCAATGGCTGCCTTGTTGTCGACGTACAGCACTAGAGGAGAACGAGGCTGCTCTCCAAGGTCGGTCAGCAAGTAGGTGAGCCAGCGTAGCTCCTGGGCCGCCATGGCTGTGGCGTAGATCCCAGCCTCACAACAGGAGCTGAGAACAGAAGAAGAGTGAGTAGAATGCAAAGAGACTGAACCATAGCCAAGACTGTAGGAGTAACCCTGAGACGACCGCTGAGTAGCCTGGTCGTTTGCCCAAGAAGCGTCTGAGTGCCCAAAGAGAACAACTGGGACTCGCCCTCCAAGCACTAGCCCCATGCCCGACATACTGCACAAGTAGCGCAACACCCTCTTAGCTGCATCCATGTGCTCCTTTCGGTGACGGCCGAGAGCGACATAGCGTGCAAGAATGCTGAGAGGGTATGCAAGGTCAGGTCGAGTGCAGGTCATCAGGTACATGAGGCAACCCACAAGCTCTGGATACGGGCCACTCGACTCTACGGACTCATCTGAAGGCAGGGCTGAGAGCGAGTGACCGGTAGCCAGAGGAGTGGGCTGAGGCGAGGAGTACGCGAAGGGGAAGCGGTGAAGGACCTGCTGCACCATGTGTGACTGAGTCAATGTGATGGTGCGGCGTGCTCTGTCCCGGGTGATCCGCTAGCCAAGATTGCTTGTCAGTTCACCCAGGTCTGTGCACGTGTGTCTCTTCTGCAGCTCCGACTTCACGTGGGCGAGTGCCGCAGTGTCAGCAGTGGCAAAGACCAAGTCGTCAACGTACACAAGGACGTAGAACGGCGCCACTGAGGTGTCGGTGCGTAGAAACAGCGACGGGTCAGCACTAGAAGGCGCGAACCCAAGAGCCGCAAGTGTAGTCCTTAGTGTGTCGTGCCACTCACGTGGCGCCTGGCGGAGACCGTAGACTGGCCGTCGGAGGCTCTACTGGGTACCAGGAGGGAACGACCCAGTGAAGCCAGGTGGACGGCGCAGCCAGATCTCCTGGTGCAGGCTGCTCTGTAGGAAAGCAGTGCTGAAGTCAAGCGAGTGGAGCTCGTAGTCACGCTGAGCGGCAACGTACAGCAGAACCCGAAGGGTGGTCATCATCGGGGTCGGGGAGAAGGTCTGGAAGAAGTCAACTCCCTCTCGCTGACTGAAGCCTCGTGCAATGTAACGCGCCTTGAAGACACGCGGAGAGCCCGTCGGCCGCTTCACCATGAAAATCCACATGCCACTGACGATGTTCACCCCAGGTGGGGGAACCTTGTCGATGTAGGTGCTTGTGGACTTCCGGGAAGCCATCTCTGTGTCCATGGCCGATTGTCACTGAGAGGAGTAGGGACCGGCCATCGCCTCTGCGTAAGAGCGTGGGGTCGGGATGTCTGGTGCATCCGGGTCTCCCTCACGGGCAACAAGCATGGACACGAGATGGGGCAAAGCGGCAGCAAAGCACTCAAACTCCTCCTGCTCGTCTTCAAGGACATCAGTGCCAAGAGCACACTCACCCCTGACGGACGGAGGACAGACAGACTCAGACTCAGCAACTAAGCTAGCGGCGTAGTCTAGACGACAGATGGCAGCAAAGTCGATAAGCTCAGCAACTAAGGCAGACGCAGCAGCGGATTCAAAGGAAGGGTCAGTGACAATAGTAGCCAGGAGACGCGTGCCAGAACGATAGGCATCACGAAGGGAGTCTAACCCCGGGTCAACAAGAGCTGGAAGAGAGGAAGTAGGTGGAGACGGAAGTGGGACACGCTGTGGAGCAGTGGACGGATGAAACGCCATCCGGTGAGTGCCTGGGACAGCAGGAAGACACTGACGCAAGACACACTACTAGAGAGAGCAGTACGGACAAGTGACGCACGACGAGGCTCAGGCGACGCAGAACGAGACTCATGCTCACGACACTAAGTAAGACCTCCAGTCGGACCAGTGAAAGGAGCAGGAGCAGGAAGAGAGGAGGCAGACGGTAGCTGCGACGGCAGCTGGGCAGACGGAAAACACCCCTTAGGGGGGAGGAGGACACGGAGGAGGGAGCGGGCCAAGAACCTGCTAAAGGAGCCGAACAAAGTACGGACGCGGCCGTGCAGTGGCACCAGAACCAGCAGAGACACCCGCACCAAGGTCCTCAGCACCAGCAGCAGCTCCAACACCCGGGTCCGCAGCACCAACAGCAGCTCCAACGTTCGGGTGGGCAGCACCAGCAGCAGCTTGAACGTCCGGGTCCGCAGCACCAGCAGGAGCTCCAACGCCCGGGTCCACAGCACCAGCAGCAGCTCCAACGTCCGGATCCGCAGCACCTGCAGCAGCTCCAATGCCCGGGTCCGCAGCACTAGCAGCAGCTCCAACGTCCGGGTCCGTAGCACCAGCAGCAGCTTCAACGCCCGGGTCCGCAGCACCAGCAGCAGCACCAACGCCCAGGTCCGCAGCGGGGTCCGTGACACGAGGCGCGCCAGTCCGAAGAGTGCAGCGCCGCTCCTACCACTCACGGATTCGCTCATGGGAGGGGAGCTCCCGACTAGGAGGAGAAGTGCTAGCACAAGTCCCAGTAGGACGCCAGGCTCGAGAGGTGCCTCTCCTGAGGCTGAAGTACTGTAACTACCACTCACGCAGCTGCTCCGGGGAGAGGGCTTCTCCAGGTGGAGGACTCCCAGGGTCAGTACCTCCAGACTCAGAACCCCCAGACTCCTGACTTTGCGGCTCAGCACCCCCAAGCTCAGCACCCCCAAGCTCCACACCCCCAGGCTCAGCACCCACAGGCTCCACACCCTTAGGCTCAGCACCCACAGGCTCAGCACCCCCAGGCTCAGCACCCCCAGGCTCCACACCCCCAAGCTCCACACCCCCAGGCTCAGCACCCCCAGGCTCAGCACCCCCAGCGGGACGAGAGTCGATAGCTACCTCAACAGGCTCAACCGGGTCTACCTGAGACACACCTGAGGGAGCGGCACCCTCAGGGGGGAGGGGGTCTACAACAGCAGCACCTGGCGCGAGGAAGAGAGGCGGGGGGGGGGGGGGGGGGGGGGGGAGCGGGGCAGTGCGGTAGGGGAAGAGGCGGTAGTAGGGGACGTACTCGTCAAAACTGACGTCCTGAGAGGGGAAGACTCGGCGCGAGGTGGCATGGTAAAACTGCCAACCAGACGCGTCCGGGACAAAGCCGAGGAAGACGCAGGGATGAGCACGGGAGGACAGCTTGTCCGCAGACGTATTGCAGACAAAAGCTCGAGATCCCCAGACCCGGAAACGCGACGCATCGCCAACCTCCCCCGTCCACAGCAGCGTGGGCGAGGTCTCCGGCAAGGAGACACGGGGCCAGAGGTTGAGCTGATGCGCATCGTACCGGACCGCAAACGGCCACAGAAAGTGGGGGGCAGCCGCATGTATCAAGGAGGTACGGGCGACCTCCATGACCAGGCCAATGCGGTGCTCCGCAACCCCATTCTGCTCTGGAGAGGCTGGTAGCGTGAACGACTGCTCAATGTCGGGCTCAGCACAGTAGGCTGCCAAGAGGTCGGAGGAGAACTCACCACCTCTGTCAGAGTGCAAGCGCAGGACAGGAAAGTCCGAGTGAAAACGCTCGCTGAGCTGGAGACGGGCTCTGCGGATCCAAGGGATCAAGACATCAGGGACCTCACCCTTGGTGCGCAAGGGGAAGACCGAGGTGTAGCGCGAGTAGTCGTCAACAACTATCAGGAAGTACCTCTCCTGACCCTGACCACGGGCGCGGGCTGGGCCCCACACGGCCATGTGGAGCATCTGCAAGGGAGCAGTCGTCGGGGGAAACGAGGAGGAGTGAGGAGCGGCGCGCTGCCGCCCCTTGAGACAGGGAAGATAGGGAGGAGCACGCGAGGGTGGGAGGGGAGGAAGGACCCTAGGCAAGCCAGAGACAAGGTACCGGGAGTGCATGGCACGAAGCCGCTGCACAGACGGGTGGCCAAGGCGGTGGTGCCAGAGGACATTCTCGTGCGCCAGAGAGCGACACGAGCAGGGGGCCGATAGCTGACGTGACGTGGACGCAGACGCAGACGCAACAACTTGAGGGGACTCAGTAGTCAGTCTGTACAGGTCCGACCCGGGCTGCCGAGTGAAGGTAGCCAAGTGACGGCCCGTACGAGCACACGTACAGTGTGTCACGCACTCGTAGGCAGGGGTGAACTGGTGAACACCCCCGTCCTGGAGCGCACATCCTGCCACCAAGTTTGTAGAGAACGAGGGGAGGTGGAGACCTGACAGTGTGCCCGACGGGACCGCAGGACAGGGAAGGACAGTGGAAGAGGTCGCAATGATCGGAACCCTAGAGGGGTCAGCAAGGGAGACAGCGACTGGCCGAGCAAGTGGCTCAAGGGCATTGCGGTCACGAAAGAAGCACCGAGAAGCACCTGAGTCCAGTGTGAAGGTGTGCAGTGCTGCAGTGAACTTAGTACCAAGGGAGGCAGACACACAAGCACCTAGAGCAGCTGCCTCAACAGCACCTGGGGTAGCCGACATGCAAGTACCTGGAGCGGCAGACGCACTAGTCCTAATGCCTGGGTCGGGCGGCACACACAGGTACTCAGCACCCTCTCCACTAGTAGACATCCCATACATAGCAGTGAGAATAGCATCAAAGTCTAGAGCATAGATATCAATCCCCTTCTTCAGGAGATCAATCCAGCAGGGCAGCTCAGTGGCCTGGGGGAACTGAACACGCCAAGCGTCGTCGAGACGAGCGAAGCAGCGCTGTGTGGCGTGTGGTCATCCACACTGTTGACCAGTGCGGTCACAAGTGCGAATGACGTACGTTCAGCTAAGACCATCCCCACCCCCGTGCAGAGAGTACCACTCACGGACCTCCTGGGGCAAAGGAGTGTGCTGCTGGCCCTGGCCACCGCCAGCGCCTCCACGACCACCACCACCGCCGCCACCTCCTCGACCACCCCAACCCTTGCCGCCGCCTTGTCCACCGCCACCCCAACCACCGCCTCCGCCCCTGCCACCTCCCCCGCCGCTGCCGCCACCTTCCCCACCGCTGCCACTAGTCCCTCTAGTCGTGCCACCACCCCCGCCGCCTCCTCCGCCCCCACCGCCGCCTCCCCCTCCGTCACCACCACCACCCTTGCCCCCTTTGCCCTTGTCGCTGCGGCGTCCGCTCGAAGCAGACGCAGTGCCGACCTTCTCAGCACCAAGAAGGTTGACAGCAGCAGCACAGGCGATAGAGGGAAGAAGGGGGGAAGGAGAACACCCCTCAAAGAACGGGGTACGGGGGTCGCCACGAGAGGAACCTACAACGACTATGCTAGTCTCAGCTGCAAGCAGTTCCTTCTCGAGGAGGGCAATGGTGAGCTCAGTGGGGCAGCGAGCTAGGAAGTGGTTCCTGACAGCACGAAGTGTGTCAGGGAGGCGGGTGACTAGGTGGTAGAGAGTGAGCTAGGGTGGAGGGGGGTGCGTGGCAAGGAACTCAGCGGGCATGGCGGCACGGAAGCGGGCCTCACTAGTACGGAGGTGTGTGATGAGGTCAGCGACTGTGTGGAATGAGGCCAGGTCGGGAAACAGTTAGGGGAGGGAGAGACAGCCTAGTGCGGCAGAGGCAGGTGAGGAGTAGCGAGCAACTACAGGTGTGTACAGTGCCTGTGCAGTCTTGTGCTGGCCAAAGTGCTCGCGTTCGTCTATCGGCAGGGAGTTGCGAATAGCGAAGCGAGCGTGGGCATCACGAGTCTTCCACTGTGAGCGAGCAGTGCTGTTAGCAGTAGCAGCAGGGGCAGTGACATGGCCTAGGGCGTGATCGTACAGTGAGATGTCATCCTTGGCTGTGAGCTGTAGGTAGAGGTGCAGGTCATCTAGCCAGGTGTCAGACTTCACTGGGCGGCCCTCAGCATAAAAGACTAGAACCTGTGGGCTAGCCATAGGAGGAGTAGAAGTAGCAGTAGTAGTAGTAGTAGTAGTAGGAGAAGCAGTTACGGCGGCTCAGTTCGGGCAGGGCGGCGCGGCTCGGGTGGGGAGGCTTGGTTCGGGTCGGGTCGCGCGGCTCGGCTGGGTTCGCGCGGCTCGGCTCGGGTCGCGCGGCTCGGTTCGGTCGCGTGGCTCGGTTCGGTCCCGCGGCTCGGTTCGGTCCCGGGCTGTGGCAGTACGTGGCCACTCGGGGCCTCTAAGGACGGCGCGCGCGGGGCCAGTTGGGGCCTCTAGGGACTGTGGGCGCGGGGCCGACGGGGCCGTTTGGGGCCTTAGGGAGGTGAGCACGGGGCCGTGCGGGGCCTTAACGGGGCCTCTAGGGGCCGACGGGGCCGTTCGGGGCCGATAGGAAGGTGAGCGCGGGGCCTAACGGGGCTGATTAGGGGCCAACGGGGCCGTTTGGGGCCGCTAGGGAGGTAAGCACGGGGCCGACGGGGCCGTTTGGGGCCTTAGGGAGGTAAGTGCGTGGCCGTTCGGGGCCTTAACGGGGCCTATTAGGAGTCGACGGGGCCGCTAGGACGGTGAGCGCGGGGCCTAACAGGGCCACTAGGGGCCGACGGGGCTGTTTGGGGCCGCTAGGGAGGTAAGCGTGGGGCCGTTCGGGGCCTTAACGGGGTCGACGGGGCCGCTAGGAAGGTAAGCGCGGGGCCGTCAAGGGAGGGGGCCTCTAGGGGCCGACGGGGCCATACTAGGCCTCTAGGGAGGTAAGCGCGTGGGCCGTGTGGGGCCTCTAGGGGCGGGCCGTCGGTGCCTTAGGTGGGTAAACCGAGGCGCCCTAGGGCGCAGGTAGGTAGGTAGGTAGGTAGTGGTGGGCCCTTAGAAAATTCGGTCCTAGGAAGGACCTACTCTATACCATGTTAGAATAACTGAACAGGAATGATTGGACTAGCAGTGAAAACAGTACAAGTACCTAACCCTAGAATTGTGTACCCCCTATAGGCTAACCCACTGTAGCCTAAACAAACACAACAACATATATAATGTTTGACAGCTTCATGGAGCCCCCGCTGCCCACTCCTCCGTCGCTCTCGCTTTCCCCCTTCACACTCCCCTTAGCCCGTCACCCTCGCTTTCCCCTCGTCGTCATGGCTTCCCCTGTCGGTCTCGCTTTCCCCCGCCACACACTCCTTCCCCCGTCTCTCTCGCTTTCCCCCCCTGCCCACTCCTTCTCCCGTCGTTCTCGTTTGCCCCCGTCACCCACTCCTTCCCCCGTCGCACTCGTTTTCCTCCGTCGCCTCTGGCTTTCCCCCGTCGTCCTTGCTTCCCCCATCGCCCTCGCTTTCCCCCGTCGTCATTGCCTTTCCCCGTTGCTCTCGTTTTCCCCCGCCGCCCACTCCTCCTCCGTCGCTCTCGCTTTCCCCCTTCACACTCCCCTTAGCGCGTCGCCCTCGCTTTCCCCTCGTCGTCAGTGCTTCCCCTGTCGGTCTCGCTTTCCCCCGCCGCACACTCCGGCCCCCGTCTCTCTCGTTTTCCCCCCCTGCCCACTCTTTCTCCCATCGTTCTCGTTTGCCCCCGTCACCCACTCCTTCCCCCGTCGCACTCACTTTCCCCCGTCGCCTCTGGCTTTCCCCTGTCGTCCTTGCTTCTCCCATCGCCCTCGCTTTCCCCCGTCGTCGTTGCTTTTCCCCGTTGCTCTTGATTTCCACCGCCGCCCACTCCTTCTCCGTCACTCTTGCTTTCCCCCTTCACACTCCCCTTAGCCCGTCGCCCTCGATTTCCCCTCGTCGTCAGTGCTTCCCCCGTCGGTCTTGCTTTCCCCCGCCGCACACTCCTTCCCCCGTCTCTTTCGCTTTCCCTCCCTGCCCACTCCTTCTCCCGTCGTTCTCTTGCTCCCGTCACCCACTCCTTCCCCCGTCGCACTCGCTTTCCCCCGTCGCCTCTGGCTTTCCCCCGTCGTCCTTGCTTCCCCCATCGCCCTCGCTTTCCCCCGTCGTCATTGCTTTTCCCCGTTGCTCTTGTTTTCCCTCGTTGCCCACTCCTTCTCCGTCACTCTTGCTTTCCCCCTTCACACTCCCCTTAGCCCGACGCCCTCGCTTTCCCCTCGTCGTCATTGCTTCCCCTATCGGTCTCGCTTTCCCCCGCCGCACACTCCTTCCCCCGTCTCTCTCGCTTTCCCCCCCTGCCCACTTCTTCTCCCGTCGTTCTTGTTTGCCCCCGTCACCCACTCCTTCCCCCGTCGCACTCACTTTCCCTCGTCGCCTCTGGCTTTCCCCCATCATCCTTGCTTCCCCCATCGCCCTCGCTTTCCCCCGTCGTCATCGCTTTCCCCCGTTGTTCTCGTTTGCCCCCGTCGCCCTTTCTCTACCCTCTCACCCACACTTGTCACCGTCCCCCATGCTTTCCTGAGTCGCACACGCATTCCCCGGCGCCCACACTTGTCACCGTCCCCTGTCGCTCTTGCTTTCCTCTGTCATCCTCCCTCCCTTTCCCCTATCGTCATTACTTCCCCCATCGCCCTCGTTTTCCCTCGCCGCCCACTCCTTCTCCCGTCGCTCTCCCTTTCCCCCGCAGCCACTACATCTCCTGTCGCTCTCTCTTGCCTCCGACACCCACTCCTTCCCACGTCGCCGTCGCTTTCCCCCGTCTCCCTCCCTTTCACCCGTCGTCCTTACCCTCCCCGTCGCTCTCACACACTCCTCGACGCTCTCGCTTTCCCCCGTCGCCTTAGTTACACACCGTTGTCATTGCTTTCCCCCGTCGCCAGCTCCTTCCCCTCTCGCCCTCCCCTTCCGCTCCCGCCTTTTCTTGACCCCCGCCTTTGGCTCCCCCGTCGCTTTTGGTACACCCGTCGGTTTTGGTACACCCCCCACCATTGCTCCCCCGCCCTCGTCACCTACTCCTGCCCGGTCGCCCTCGTTTCTCCCCGTCACCCACCCGTTCCCCCTTTGCCCACGTTTCCATCCGTCTCCCACCCTTCCCGTGTCACCATCTCTTACACCCACCGCCCTCGTAAGCCCCCTGCCTTCCCTCTACCTGATACCTTTGGCTGTGTGCACTCAACTGCCTCCTTCTCCCCCCGCTCCTTCGTTCAGGGATCCTTCCACCCTCAGCAATCTCTCATTACTCCTCCCTCCTCACCACCCCTCCGCCTGCCCCTCACCACCACCCTCCCATCTCTTCTTATAGCAGATGGCTTATAATTGCGGAGTGTGCGGAGCTGCCGGGTTCTCTGGTAGGGGTCCGCTCACAAACCATCAAAATGGCGAAACGTGCAGAGCCACCACCGCAAATCGTTCTGCCACTGCTGAATCTTCACGCTCCATGCAACTTCCACGCACCACGCAAGCTACAATGCCACAGCTTATGTTGAACATACCCACAGCAACTGCACCCATGCCTGACACCCCGCAACCTCCTCCTCCTACTTCAGTCCCCACGATTCCTGAGCCCGAAACCTACACAGAGGAGAGAGCTGAAGGTGATGGCGTAGGGGATGGTGGGGCGGCATCGGGAGGTGAGAGCGACACATTCAAATTTGCAGATGCATTCGCTCATTTCCTCCTTACCTCCAATCTGTCCAAAAGTGCTATTGATAAGTTGCTCCTCATCTTGAACCTTGGTTCAAAGTTCAATGACGACGTTGTCGTTTTCAGAAATGCGCGAGACGTTGAAAAATACGTCGATGAACGCATCCCAGATCTTCACCGTAACTAGAGACGAGGTCTTGTGCGCGTACAGTCAAAAGCTTCGTTAGAGTTCTTTTTTTGTGATGGTGTCATTGGGATGATTGACCTTCTGACACATCCAAAGAATGCGGACAAACTCGTTCTTAAACCCACGTCACGCATCCCCGGTGAGACACATGTGTACTCATCACCCGAATCCAGGGATTGGTGGTTTACTTTGCACAATGAGGTCAAAAAAGTGGAACCGGACGGGGTCGTGGTTGCTCTGATATTGTCGAGCGATGAGACATACATGGACCAAAGAGGCAAGGCCAAGGGTCATCCAGTGTACCTGACACTGGGAAACATTGACAAGCATGACCGTTGGAAGCCATGGGGCCATGTACTGCTTGCTTTGCTTCCTGAATTCACGCCTCAGTACGATTCGCTAGACAAGTTTATTGTCTTCCAACACATCCTGTCAATGGTCATGGAACCATTGCGAAAGGCCTCACACACCAGAGTGAGGGTCTAGGACCCTACTGGTGCCACGTACAACGCGTCGCCTGGTTTGTACGCATACGCACGTGACTATCCTGAGTCGTGCAAGGTGAATTGCACAAAATCGGGGGCCACAGGCTTCCCATGCTCGTTGTGCACAGTCCCTGTTGCTGAGACCAACAAACTACTGCCTCGCATTGTCCCTCGTACTCCACACTTGCAAAAGGGCATTACCTCGCTTTTGCAAATGCGGTTGTTTCCGAAAGGCGTGTCAAGCATGTCAACACATTCGGTGAATTGTTTTTCGTGGGGTTGGCGTTGGTCATCTATTCCTATTTTGAACCCTTATTTGAGCGGCATGCCTGATATCATGCACCAGGCAGAATTGGGAATTCTTGTGCACATCATTGACGTTTTCCGTACACAACCCACCATTGCTAAAAAAAAAGAGGCCGACGAGAGAAAAGCCTACTTGCGGGAGCACAACCGCAACCCGTTCATGCGCCTGCCTGGGGGCGAGTATTTCTCCTCAGGCGCGAGCTATTAGGCGTATGAGCATAGGAGTGTCATGCAAGTCCTTCCTTTTCTAGTGCGTGGCTTTGAGTTGACTGTCCCTCAGGTGCAGATGGATGCGATTGCAACTTACATTGACTGGTACACCTACTGTGCCCGCGCCAGTGAGCATACGACAGAGACGCTGCGTGATTTGAAGCACAAGGCCGAAAGGTATGTCCATGTGTTACTATACTATGCAGCGCGTGCATGCAATATGTCGTTGCACATGTAAGACTACCACTATGGGATTCTAGCCAATGCCTTTCTGCTCAAACATATCTTCCGCCACCATCACCATTGTATGGCAGGTTGATTTTCACCCTCAAATCAGCCTTTCCTCTACAGATGTCAAAGTGGCGCTTCATCAAGATGCACCTGATTAACCACTACATTGACTCGATCCGTCGTGCTGGCTTGCCAGAGCACTACTCTACGCAGATGTTTGAGCACCTGCACATGGAGTACATCAAGAACCCTTATAGAGCATCGAACCGGCGCACGGCCACTACACAGATCATGAATAGTGAGGTGATGCGTCTGCGTCTAAACTCCATTGCATCAGTTCTCGGCAAGCGTAAAGCCTACGACACGTGCATGGTTGAGGTGAGTCCTAATCTATTCATAGTTGACTTGGTCGTACACCTTTCACCTCGTAGATATACCACTCATTCCTGTTATACACGATCATGCATGCAGGCTCAACGGACGGGGGAAAGGGTGATGACTCGAGAGAGTTGGAGGCTGCTGGTCCCTGCCAACCGGCTAGTGGCACCCTTCGTGGTCCCGTTGACACCTGATGCTGACCGAGATAGCGAGTTCTTGACAGCGTTATCTGCGGACCTTCCCTTCCTATGTGGCGCTATGAATGAGGCACCTGCATGCTCGGGAAGTAGCATCGTCACCATCCACGTAAGATGATCCCTTGAATCTACCACGTCATCCCCCTCCTCTCTCTTTCCCCCTTTTGTTGCTATACAAAACGGTGGCATCTCATCCCTCTTTCACCATTCTTCCCTCTCTCTGTGACATACTCATAATCCCGTCCTTCCCCTGCACCATAACTATACCCACAGATCAACAACGGGTTGGCCATGCCAACTGCAATTGATGCGGCATTTAGCCGCCTACCTCATCACGTTCGTGCTGCGCCGATGTTCTATGGTCGGCCATGGTTCTCCAACATCGCAGTTGTTGGGGAGGGTGACAATGCAGAGCCTCTCGAATGGTCCGCATTGGGAGATTGCTGGTGCCATATGCTTTCATAAAGTACTATGACTCAGCCCCCTCCAAAGACATAGCTACTAAGTGCACAACTCTCACTTGGGCTGACTCGCCTCAACGCTATAGTGTGATTGCAGTAACCAGTATCCTATGGGCGGTAGAGCTGGTCCGGACTGCGCCATGCAAGGACGTGTGGCTAGTTAATAAGTTCATGCTCTAAACTAGTAATCCGTAGGATAATAATGGGTATTCCCTTTTGTCACTTCAAACCATAGTGATTGACCTGTAGAAACTTAATGCAATACACGCATAGACAATGTCGTATCGCTTTGCGTACAACACAATTATACAATTTAAACAAGTCGTCAAGTTTGCTGCATGATCACAACCAACAAATCCTTAAGGGCCTAGTAAGGGCTTCATCAAGAAGGAAAGCATGAAAGTGCAAAACGGGGGCCTGTATTGTAATGTAGTCGTTCGTTTCACTATTGATCATGTTAGGAAAATTGTTTGTAATGGATATATTTGTGACATGCTGAGGTGGCACGCGACAACAAAGGAACTACCATGGTGGGTGGATGAGATTGACTACCGGACGCGACGCGCGGCACATAGCTGCTCGCGTGCGATACAGAATGCATGTGAGTTGGACTGTGGGCCCAGATTCCTAATTCTACCAGTTCGGGCCATGGGCCCGTGGCCCTTTTTGTTTTTTACTTCGCATTCATTCATCATTTTCCTGTGGTTAGGTAGTCTCTAGTTACGCGTGAAATAATTTTTGTTTCGAATCCAAATAATCCCTATATGAACGAAATGCATGAAACATGCAAAACTGCGGAAATACGGGCAGGGATGCATTACTACCTAAAGTTCCGACAGCGAAACAGTAAAATACCGTGGCTGCCAAAACGAAACCATGTAAACACGTTGACGCGCGACGCAACGCCACGACGCAGTCTTTCCGCATAGGACGGAATCGTCCACTCACCGCCAATGTAATCTGCCAGCTGGAACAGGTGAGGCATCTGCGTGGCAAACCTCGTGAGAAAAAAATAGTCATTCATTAACCATAAATAGCCGCATCTATCGTCTGCGACTCTTGTCAGTTGCAAACGCGTCGTTATGTCTGGTGTGGTTGGTACAGCGTGTGGCGGGAAACGATTGTTGGCACCGGATGACCAAACGGGTCTGGTTACTCTCGGGTAAGATGGTGCAGTGCTGGACGACACGGCGATCGAAAGCGACTCCGACGAACCTGTCGCGAAGTTCCACGAGCTCGTGTCAGAACATTATAGCTTATACATTTGTGTAGGCTGTAGTGGGGTAGCCCACAAGGGGTACAACCCAATTAGGGTTAGTACTTGTACCCAACTGTTTCATAGTTCATTCATCCATTCTCACTTCTCGTCATGGTATCGAACAGGTTCCCGAGTGGGAATACTGCCTAGGGCCCACCACGAAATTTTTTTTCCTTTCCCTGCCCGGAGCGCGCTTTGCTCCTAACCCAAGTAGCGCCTCGACCCGCCCTTAGTGGCCCCCGTTGGCGGCCCTTACGGCCCCTCACGCCACCTTCTATGGCCCCTTACGAACCCGTCTGGCCCCTTACGGCCACGTCGCGGCCCCGCTTAGGCCCCTCACGGCCCCGTCGCGGCCCCGCTTAGGCCCCTTACGGCCCCGTAGCGGCCACGCTTGGCCCCTTACGGCCTCGTCGCGGCCCCGATTAGGCCCCTTACGGCCCTGTCGCGGCCCCACTTAGGCCCCTTACGGCCTCGTCGCGGCCTCGCCTAGGCCCCTCCCCGGCCTTGTCTGGCCCCTTACGGCCTCGCCTAGGCCCCACCTCCGCGGCCCGGATTGGCCCCTTCGCGGCCTCGTCTGGCCCCGCTACAGCCCCTTCTGGCCCCGCTACGGCCCCGTCTGGCCCCGCTACGGCCCAGTCTGGCCCTGCTACGGCCCCCCCTTTGGCCCCGCTACGGCCGCGTGTGTCCCCCCCTTACGACCCCGTCGCCACTTGCGGCCCCGCCGCCACCTGCGGCCCCGCCGCCACTTGCGTCCCCGCCGCCCAGCGCCCGCACCGCCGAGCAGCCGAACCGCCGGCCAGCTGAGCCGCCCAACCGCCGAGCCGCCCAGCAGCCGAGCCACCCGACCGCCGAGCCGCCCAGCAGCCGAGCCGCCCAGCAGCCGAGCCACCCGACCGCCAAGCCGCCCAGCACCGAGCAACCGAGCCGCCCGATCTCCGAGCCGCCGAGCAGCCGAGCCGC